CCACCAGCATCTAGCGAGTTTTCAGGTATCCTATAATAGGACGATATATGCAAGGTATAACCTCTGAAAATTTGACTGAAATCTATGCAGTAGTTTTTGAGTTAACTCCGAACAACGAAAACGGCTATTATTTTATATATATAGATGAAAGTCCATGGAAGCAATTTCGTTTTGAAACCTGTCCTAGAACAATGCACTGGTTATCACACTATGGTATAGGTGGGGGAGACATGCTTATAGGGACTCTAATAACAGTTTTCAGGGCCCGTCTGGCATTTGGCCACGTTCCCACTCTTTGGAAAAAAGTCAGGGTAGTATTCGTTCCCAAACCAGGAAAGGATGACTATGCGCTGGCAAAAAGCTTCACGACCATCAGCCTGAAATTCTTAATACAGAAAAGTCTTGAGCGCACGGTCGAAAAGTACGTTAGATCAAGGGTTTTGGTGAACAACCCCTTTAGTATTCATCTACATGCATACCAAAGCGGAAAGTCCTGTGAATCAGCTCTGCATGATGGAAATAGGTGGGTCCACAATAGAAGTCTTTGCTGATATTTAGAGTGTGTTTGACAACGCTACCTTTGGCTCTAGGTGCTCTTCGGACCGAAGACATGGAATGGATGAAACCTTAATGTTATCTAGAAGATTTCTGACCCTGGGGGATAACGCTAGCTTTTGTACCATGGCAGACGCTCGGAGAGGATGTCCTCCCTGCTAACGGAAATGCAAGACTTCGTTCACATCCAAGCTTACGCGGACGATGTTTGTGCACTGTCATCGGGTAAATCTCTCAGGGAGGTTTGATTTGTGACACAGAGAATCCTGAATAAGATTGATGAATAGTGCAATTTGCAGGGTCTTGCTGTCAATCCCAGACTTGTTTACGCGGAAAAGAAAATTGGAAGGTCTCAACTTTCTAGTCATTAGAGACGTAAATATAAATCTGTCCGCGGATGTAAAATTTTAAGGGGTAACTCTATATTCGAAGCTGACATGGAAAACTCACTTAGAACTGACGATAAATCGAGCGTTGAAAGTTTTCGGACAGTGTCGAAGAACCTTTAGGAAGACATGCGGTATAAGACCGGCTATGATATTCTGGACATTCATAGCTTTAGTCGGGCCAATCGTCACGAACTCCGCTGTAGTATGGTGATGCAGAACCATTGTCAAAACCACGGCTACAAAGGAGCGTGTGCATAGGCATCACGGGCACCATGAGTACAATGTCAGGACCGGCTTGTAATACTTTGTTGAATTGAAGGTTGTCAGAGCATTATCCTTTGTTTTTGGCATTTAATGACAAACTGATACCTAGAGTGTCCTTTGGAAGAAAGTGCGTCGTTAGATTTCCCACAAGGGAACAATGGAAAACTTTGTATAACGACGGCTGAAAGAGTGAAAACAGTACTGGTTGCTAGATAGCATCTGGGCGGTAACTTCAGATGCTTTATTGCTTTGGGTGCATTGGCAACGCCCTTTTAATAGGAAGTATTGGCAATACTGAAAGTGGCAGAATGGATAATTAGTGAAAGGTGATGCGGACATAAAATCAAGATCTGCAGTGACAGCCAAGCTGCCTTGTATACCCCTCGCACCTCTTCAAAGATATTTCAGGAATGTAAGGTGGGACTGAACTCCGTTACAAGGTGAAACGAGCTTGAACTTGTGTGGGTGCCAGCACAGTGCGGTGTTCAAAGTAACAAACTGGCTGATGAATTGGTGAACTCCGGCTCTGGAGTGTCCAATTGGACCGGAGCCAATTTTAGGGCCAAGCATAGAGGGAACCATCGGGTACATCAAGGATCTCATAAGCAAAAGTAATGAGAGCCGTTGGTGCACTATAGACACCTGGAAAATAACCAAATGCTTCCTGTAAAGGTCTGACACTGTGGTAACAAAATTTCTTCTCAGAAAAAGAAGGAGAGATCTACGAGTCCTTATTGGGACTTAATCCATAGGGATGACCCATAGGCATCATCGACGAGCACGTGTGACGAGATGGTACATTTTTGGGTCCGATGTACTGATAATGGACGAGACACATTCTTTCCTTCAACAAACTGATAAAATCCATAAACGAGTCTATGTTTTTTTTTCGTTTTTCCGGCCTCCCACAAATCCATTTCATAGTATGAGGCTTACAGTATTCTTATTTCTGCAAATCGTCAGCGCAAATTCATATTTCTTAGGTTTTTTGTTGATTTGTGTTGTTTTTTGTTTACCTTTTCACCACTAATCTAATTGCATTAGAAACTACTCTTAAAAACTACTAAATATTTTCACTAATATATAACGATTAGTAAGGGCCACAATTTATTTTGAATATTTTTTTTTTTGTTATATGACAATCTTTGAGTCTGCTATTTGGTAATCGTTCATAACTTAAAAAATGTAAATTTATTGGGTCTTATTAATAAAAACTAAGCAGTTGCTTTCTTAAATTTTCAGACCTTTTACTCGATTTATTCAAAGAAATTTAAGTAAAGGGTCTGAAATTTCAAACAAAATCAATTGCTTATTTTTTATTATAAAGCCCATTGATATATTCAGAAAAGCATTAGAACAGTATACACATACTGCTATTTAAAAATTACTTTGATTAAATTTAAATTTGTTATTACATGGAATTCTCATTTATGAAGACTTTAGGAATTCACGTATACTTATTATAAAAACGTTGGTTAAAATCCACTAAACTAGTTCTAGTTCAGTCCTAGTTGTTATTAAGGTTTCAATTAAATATTAGAGTATAAATTTTTAAATCTTTTTAAAAGGTATACAATCTAAATTCCAAAAAAGCTCTTAAGCAAAGCTATAATATTGGCCATAATACTGATTTTTGTAATAAATGGCAGACAAAATTAAGCCCTTTGTGGTGTGTGCTAAATACTTACGGTTTTCGATACAATGTAGTTCGAGAATTTATTTAGCAATGCAAATTATTTCCCCGTAGAGCACAACAGAGCGAGCATGACATAGGATATGTGTACGTATGTATATGTGTTTTAGTAGATATGTATGTATGTATGTATATCTACACTCTCTTAACCTAGCTTTAGAAACTTTAAATTATTCTAAATTAGAATGCATATAACTACGGTGACCATTCGTATCGATTTTGGCGGGACAGTGCCGATTTTGAGAAAATCGTCCCACTGAACATATTTTAATAATCGGGGCGTATAAGTGTCCCAATTTTTCATATTAAGTACTGTTTTTCAGTTGTTTCTTTATTCATTTATTAAGACTCTCCCTGTACTCTGGCCCAAAAACAATTTTTCGTACAAACGATTCAGCACTTTCGTTAACCATAACCATAGCCAGCATCCATATTAATAATATAATTCAAAAAAATTATAAAGAATAATACTAATACCCTCAAAAAAATTGTGGATATGAAAAGCTGTAGATAGAGTGACGAAAATATAAATAAGGAAGAGACATTTTCATTTCAAACTTTGTACAAAAATTATCAAAATTCGACAAAGTTCCATCAAAATTTTCTGCTTTTTAATTAGAAACATTCTGAGTATGCAGTTTTGTGACCCGTTCAATTCAAAGTGCAAATTTAAGTAGCTAGGACTTACCGTTGATTAGTAGTCGCAGAATACGATAGCATAAATAACTCAATTCTTTCTTAAGTTGACTTAGGCGGTTATTGCTTATGACCACCGATTTATTAAATTGTGTAAAAGGTGCTGCTAATTTTCTCCATACAAAAAATATTTGAACATACTGTATATGGAAGAAAATGAGCGGACAAAAAATTGCCAAGTTTCTTCCAACTTCCACTTTATTATATTAAAATTCAACGGGTTACAAACCTGCGCACTAAAAACAATTCTAGAAAATCTTATTAACATGTTTCAAATTGTGATGAACATTTATTAGAATTCTACGAATTTTTATAAATGTTCTACAAATTTGGAAATTTTGATTTACATGTTTTTTAATATTAAGCTATATCTTCATAAAAAATTAATAAACAGTTTTTAATTTTTTTTTTCTTTGTTTTGTCTTCGATATATGTAACTGTATTAAGCATTTTTATTCTAAAATTGTATGTTCGAATTTGATGCCTTAGAAATATCCCGATTTTTGGCCACATAACATATTTTTTTTTTAAATCATGCCCTTCGATCTCTCTGTTGTCAGGTCTCAAAAATACAAGTAAATGGTAGATGAATTTGTGCAGCTGTAGAAGTACAAATTTACAAAAAAAAAAGTTACAAAAAACCACTAAAACTTGTCCGTACTTTCTTGAGTGAGTGCACTACTGGTATCAAGTGAATCCAAATAAGCTATTCACTTCTTTTTGTCATCAATCAATTTTCAATTCAAAGGCGCCATTTCCGCATACACTTACTCGTACAAGTAAAGTGCGAACGCTCGTGCATTCAAGTACGCCGAAATGGCGAAAGCAAAGATTGCGAAAATTTTGCGCAATAAACTGTGGCATCAGCAAGAATGACAAGGCACGTGCTTATCAGATACGCTATTTCATGCACAAACATAGAACCATTTGCTTGAAGCGTATGCGCGTATGTGCATATTTACTACATATGTACATACATACATATGTAAGGTCGTGCAAAGCATGTTACTCATACGCACTGTACACCCTGCCCTGCTCCCTGGCTGACATAATCGAATGAACTGAAATTTGGGGTGTAAAGTAAGTAATGGAAGACGCGAAAAACGTGTTAGATAGCAAAGTGTAAGAGCAATTCAACACTACTATGTAGCTCTGCAACAGTTTAAATATGGCAGCTGTAAGGAATGCCGAAGCAACAGCAGTTGAGCAACACAACGGCAGCAAAGTTACATACAAGCGCTTACAAGTGCCACTTGCGCGCAACTGAATGTGTTGCGCTTCTTTATTCGAGAGCTCAGGTTTTTTGTTTATACATATTCTCTTTTATCTTCTAGTATGCTTCTTTTCGCCACACTTCTACACTTAATAACACTTATTGTTGTTTGATTTGTTACTTTACTTACCCATATCACGACTTGATCATCGCCACGTCCTGCTTTTTGGCGCCACAATGGCACCGTACGCCCCTCATTCGACACGAATACCGCATAACACTTTGAAAGTTCATCGATGCGTGTTTTTTTCACTTGTTCACAAAGTTTCCAAACATTCTCCTCGCTGCAAATATAGAAAATAGGGAGAAAGAGGGAAAGTATTAGGGAACTTAGATAAGTAAATGGTGTGAATAAGAGTAATACATAAGAGTGAGTTGTCACGCATGTTAGAATTCATACATCAATAATTAGGCTGGCAATAAATCGGATTGTGACAAAACACACACACGACTCATTTAATATGGACTGAAACCAGTTGTAGTACATTTGACAAAAGCATAGCATTAACATTACATGAGAGGTTGACGTCAACATTCCCTAACCAATTTCTGTTTATACTTTTCGCCGTGGCTATGGAACCAAGATATACCATATAAGAGGTAAGCAGAAGCTCCAATACGCAGCGGTAACAGTAGCCACCTACTCAACTCGATTGCTTCATAGTATCCATAGTAAGCAACAATTGCAAAGTACTTACGAGTATAGCGTTTATACTCGACTATACATATGTATGCTTTTGAATTTTTTCCGTACTTAAAACACTTTTTTTTATATTTTACATGAGCACTTTTTTATACAAATGTAAATGTCAATTACATGTATGTAGTTAAGTATATTATGTACATAATAAAATAGTTAATAGCTCGCATGGCACAGGAACAAGTCACCAGTGTTCTTGCGAATGAGGTCAGCATTTTGTAACTTTATTATTACACGCTTGCATGCTTACATGCATGAATATATGTATATAATATAAGTACATCAATGAACACTTTTGAAATGGACAATGCTTTTGAGCTTTTAATGTAATTCACAATGGGGAATACGAGACATACATACATGCATAGTACATTCGTATGGACATGGTAACAGTTGAGTGGTGCATTTTCGCTAAATTGTCACTAAGCATACATAGGAAAGTTTTTAATTTGAATAAATTTTATGCTTGTTCAACTTACATATCGTGCCAATAGAAGGGTCATATTGTTTTAAGATTAAAGTTATTATAAAATATTGTTGAAATTTTTTGGTTTCTGATAGCAAAAATGCTTTTTTAGTTAACAGAGAACCAAAAAGGGTAAGGTTTTTATTTAACCAAAAAACTCTGAAATACCTGTGAAACACCTTGCGTAGGGTAGATTTTCAGGATTTTATTATTACTATTTAAATTAGATGGCTAGCTGCACTGAGAAAAAAATACACCACAACGTATTTGTTTCAAAATAAAACACATGTATGTATATAAGATGGCGTAAAACGATCTATTGGTAGCTCCAAACTGATTTTTTTTTTGGAAATTCTTTAGTTGAAATACGCTACAATTTTGTATTTCCAGATATTCGTTCTGCAAAAATTAAAAACGACAAGTTGCGTCGGGCGGAAATTGAATCTAGCACCTCGTGGAATCAAACGAAGAATAGCAAGCATCTCTGTACACTCAGCTATATATGTAAATGCTCAGTTTATATCAATTTTCTTACAACCCACACTGGCCAGAATTTAATTTTTTTTTTGCATAAATTTTTGAAAAGAAAGTCATCATTTTCAAACTTGGCACATATGTTCTTCATGCTATTAGCAAGTTATGGTAAAACTTTTGGGCCGATCAGATAACGCGTGCGCCTTGCCTTCACCTCTCACCATCTATGAAGTTGCTTTTGAATGCTAACCTTTTTCAAAACTTTTCAAAACCCCTTTAGTCTGGCATCCATATTGTGATACATATTTCACTTACCTAAGTGCCACAATTCAAGTTGAATTTGCTTTTTTAAACATATGGCAACCCTACTAAATATTGTTCTGAATAAAACCTTTCAAACGCATTTCGATTGATACCAATCTCCTTCAAACACCTCAAAAAAGCTTAAGTATCCAAACTAAATCTTTCTTATCCCTCTTTCGTTTCGACTTTTCAAACTGGTATAAACCCTTACGAAAAAAAAAATTATTGCTCATCTATAGCTCTTAACACCCCATTTTTTAATATTGAATGAACTGTGCAAATCTGATGCCGTTAACAAAGAATGCATATGTATATGTAAGGTAGTTAATTTTTAAAAAGGTGGCAACCCCACTAAAAAATAAAAGCGTATTGTACATCCAGGGACCGTATCCTTTCACTTTGTACTTCATTTTTAGTCCAACTAACTGTGGAGATATTATAATTTTTAAAATGCTGGCAGCCCTACTAAAAAAATAATACATTATAGGACATCTAAAGGCCAAGCACCTTCATTTGATACCTCATTTCTGTAATCCAGCGGATCTTAAAATTTTGCTAGACAGATGGCAAACCTATAGAAATTTTCAGGTCTAAAGGTAATACCTCTATTAAAAAAATTTTGTTAAATCCGTTCGGTAGTTTTCGAGATTCGAGATGGTGAAAAAGTCCCTAATTTTCTTTATTCTATGTAAGGAAAAATGAGCTAAAACTGTTATTACTCAAACCAAATCTAAAAGCATTTTCTTATTATTAGTTCGCGTCATCACCTGTCAGCTTGCTAGTTCTACTCCACGAAACACAAAAATATTGTTTAGTATTTTTTTCTATGTAAATACGCACTACAAATACATTAAATAACAACAAACAAACACAAGAACGATATGCACATTAACTAATTCTTATTACAAATACCTTGCCCTTTAGTTTCCATATCTAATTTTGTTTATTTATATCAACGCAACCTTTCGCAAGCTTTTCACAATTGGCTAATAGTTTTCACCAGTTCTAACAAAATAACAGCTTATCATACACATGACTTTGAAAGCGAACTGAAAGCAAAGGGTTGAAACTTCAAATCTGTTATTTGGAAATTTTCTTAGTTCACATATGTACTTCTATAAAAATAACTGATATCAAGATTATAGTGCTATAAAAATTTTGAATTTACGCCAAAAAAATCCAATTTCGGCCAGTTTGTTAAAAAAGTAATTTTTATGTTCGAAAATTTAAAGCCGCTTACCATAGAAAACCCGGTTTGAAAAAAAAAAAACATGTTAATTTATTCTTAGTGTGAGTAAATCTTAAATAGTCAGAGTATGAAACGTCCACATTCTGGATCCAATATATATATACCAATATATTTATACCAAAACAGATATCATATGCTTTGCGGTTCAGGGCTCATAGACCCTTTACCCTTTGACACAGGAAACACAGTGCGAAAATTTAACTTTTTTCTTGACAAAATCAACAAACCAGCTGGGGAAATGAATTTAACAGCAGTTGAAAAGTTTTGGGATTGAAAATACAAGCAAAATAATTTCGTTGGATAAAAAGGTTATCTTGACCTTTCAAATGACCTTCAAAGGTAGGGGGTTTTCAATTTTCTTCCTTTTTTGACGGAAAAACTGTACTTATTTAACTTTTGTAAGAAATTTAAAACACATTTTTTTGCTTGTCTTGCGTCAAGGAATCCATTTCTATGATCGAAAGAACCGAAAAACAAATTTTAGAATTTATTTTGGGAGTTTATTACAGGCTCTTTTTAGATTTAATGAATAAAAACACTCAAATATATTACTTTTAAAGGTTATTTTAAAGGTTAAGGTAATATTTGATTCAATGTGACCTTGAAGATCTTCAAAAGTAAAACTTTTTATTTTTTTACCCAAAACAGCAATTAATGAACTTTTAAAAAATAAAGGAAGCAAATTGAAAACAAGGTATTTTTTGATACAATGAAATTATTTTTCCTCATATATGTAAATACAACCGCCGTTCGGAGTCGGCGTAAAAGTGTAGGTCTCTCCCTTTTATGTGACAACTTCACGCACGAACGCCCCAAATCGGAGGAGAAGCTCGGCCAAACACTAAAATATTGTGTAAGCGCCAATCTACTATAATTATTTGCAACTGTCTACCAACCTTGGTAACAAGTAAGTCCAGGGCTCTTAAAGCTTCCTGGCGCAAAGATTTCATCATGTTGGGATCCTTCGCTGAACAATAAAGGATAACAACTCAAAGCGCCTATGTTGGACATGAATGTTCGCATGGCTCTTGTGATGGTCAGTCAGAATTATACCGCAGTTTTTGGTTACAATACCAATACTGCATATGTAGTATTGAATGGCTAGTACGTCGATCTTGGAAATATATTTTTCCTAATTTTGCTGCGAAACCTTTGACAAGCTTAAAATATATTTTTGGCTTTATTGGCAACCGTTGCGAGATGTGGCTATTAGTTGAACCGTTTATCTAGTGTCACCCCTAAATATGTAACTTTCGAAAGCCTGCTTTCTTTTCCAGCACTTATAATCACAAATGCATACATACTTACAAAGAAATGTTGTTTGCTCCATACAAAGCTATGGGCAGCAAGTTCTAAACTATGCAACGCCTGTTTAGTAATCAGGTACTATTAGGACTCAGTATACAAAAACACAGAAATGCCGAAATATAGCACCACGGACAGATACGGGACACCTTCCGATGCCGCCAGAACAGCAGCTACACAGTGAGGCCCAGAGGGTTCCAGTAAGGGAACATAATATCATCAGAAAGCAGATTCTGGTCGGTTGTTACAGATGTGAACATGCGAACCACTTTCTAGATGCAGAACCCCCTCTGATTTAGGCAAGCCAGAGAGCATTTCTGCAAGACGAGATCCAAAGTTTAGTGCGTGAACCACTGGGCCCGACACTTTACATAAAGACAGGTAACACTGGAACCCAAATTTTTATTTTTATTTTGTTCTCCAGACGCCACTATCCAATTTGTATGTAGAATCGCTCGCTGATTCCGAAAATCGAGTTAATTTATTTTATTATATAATCGTAATGTGGGGTACAGTAGATGAAAGAAAATAAAATTCACTATAAACCGTATTTGCATAACTTTTCGATAGCCCTGATAGTTTCTCAGAAATTAATTAATCATTCCAGATTTTTTGTTTATTTGTTGGAAAATGGAAAAAATTCAAACCTTAACGGGGAAAAAAGTCAAAAAATAACAGTTTCTGTGTAAATATTTTGCACTTGTGTTAAAGCCTGTTCCTTTAGAAAAAAAAAAAACTGAGCTACCAATGAAGAAAATCGATGAATAAATAAGAAATAATGATTGGC